AGACTGAAGCAGATAACATTTCCTGCTGATAAACAGAAAGACATCAGGATCATAAACACTCGCTGGTCTCAGGTCAGCTTCTTTCACTACACACACAGCGGACAGCACGCCGCTGCCCAGGAAAGGCATCAACTGAATAATACACAAAGGCTCTGAGAGAAGGGTATTCCCTACGTCTAGCTAAGCAGTGCACCACATCATTAAGATTACGACGTTTAGTTTTGAGGGCTTGAAAGTTTGTTGGTGTTATAACCTCTTTTCTATCAAAGTGGCAATATTTTCACTTTCATCTACTGTGTACAAAAGCTGTGAAAGATTCTCTTAGATTTAGTTTATTTGCTCCAGACAGAGTTTGATTTACCAAAGGAGGTGAGCTTTAATCTTTACCAGAAAGACGATGGAAAACCATTCTTATACTGTGTTTACTACAGACCAGATTATCACCACCTCACCTCCCCCGTAGTAATAAATATCTTGAAAAATGGGTCAACACGGTGGGAGTAGTAGGCTTCATGGCCAATCTTCATTTAGGTGTCGAAGGCTCTTCCTGAACGTCAGTTGGAGATCGAGGGTCTGCTGAAGGAGATGGAGAAGTGTGAGAGTCATCTGGATGACCTGTCAGTCTGGGCATCCAGCACCAGAGCCAAGCTGGAGCACAGCCCTGAGGGACCATCTGCCAGGGTATGGTGCAAAACAGTGTGCATATAGATGTATGCATGGTATCAGTGCACCATGGCATTTACTAGTAAAACATTCAAGCCCAAACTGCCTGAAATAAATAATACATTGCATATATTACATCCAATATATTATTTATTATATTACATGCAATACACTCATCTGTCCACAAGGCTTATTGCAGTTTAAGCTCTCTGATTCTCCAGCTCATTAACGAAGTGCAAGTCAAGCAGCCAGAGGTGGAGTGTGTGTTGGAGAAAGCTGATCAGTTATACAAGGACTCTCCTCTCGAGCAACCTGGCAAGGTGAGGAAATGAAATACAGGTGACTCACGTGCAAATTCAGTCACATGAAATCATTAAACACTGACTTGTCTCACTTCTACCTTTACCTTAAATATTATGAATAAATAGTTACTTTTTGAAGAAATGTAACAAGACACAAATATATATAAACAACGTCGACTCAAAAAATATACATACTTCTTCCAGCATTTGATGCTTGGACACTTACCTGTGAAGTTGTCGTTATCAACAATAAGGAAACTGCTCACATGTGTGTTTGTATGTTTTTTCAGATGAAATATATTAGGCTGAGGGAATCTTGGACAGTAATCTTGGAGCTGCTGCAGCAGCACAAGGAGAGGACGGCTGCTCAGCTTATAACCAGAAAAGACAGTAAGACCACATTTAATCTTTCACGCATGCATGTGCACACAAGATTAAGTTCGGACTGAGTTTAGGACACAAATTCATGTTCCCAGTACAACTGAAAGTCCTGATATTAGGTTCAGTAAGAGTTCATTTTACTAGATTCAGCCTGGTTCCGTTTCTTTTAATTATTCATTTGTTTTTGGGATTGAGATTCTAGTTTTTATCTTTCTTTTTTCTGTTGATCAGTCATTGCCCAGATTACACTTCGGGCTATGAGTGATACCATCTGAATAATTAGAATCATTTAAATAATGGAAAAACAAATGGAAAGATCAGCTCCTGCACATGGTTATAGAATATCAGCTGATTTGGGGACTTGTCTCTAATGCTACAGTCACAATATTAAAAACGGTGGTTGGAAACCAGGTCATGACCCAACTCGTGACCACATGGAATAAACTTGCCGTTGGTTTTTGAAATGGTTGTTTGAAAAATGGGGACCGGGTCTGTGTGGTTATGAATTTAAAGCATGAATGATGCGTTTGGTGGTGGGCCATCGAGTTCTCTCTGTTCATAATGAGCGATTCATTTCAGCAAATTCAGTGAAGGACTTTTACTGTGGTTTTATTTTGAAATAAGAATATGAGCACTTCCTCCACTAAAAGTTCATTTAACTGTATCTGTGTCTCAGATGAAGGTCTGACAGGAAGTTCCCAGCCTGAATACGCAGCATTGGCTCAGTTCAACAAGTCCTGGGCTGAGCTCACTGACTGGCTGACCATGATGGATAACATGGTACAGAACAAGCGGGTAGTGGTGGCTGACCTCGACGACATCAACGACATGATCAGGCAACTCAAGGTCCGGACCTCTGACCTCACTGTTGACTCTATTTAAAGCACTGCAAAACCTGACCGAGCTGCCGACATTCACGGGGCCGTGTGAGAGTATGGCTCAGTGTGTAAATACTGAGGACTCACAGATAGTTTAAAACAGTCAGTGGTTAAACTGACAAGCTAGACATGCTACAGACCTTTATTCTTGATTTGTTTTCCTCCTTAATTGCTTGGAAAATTCTATAAGTAAGTTAAAACAGTTGAGAAACTAAAATGATTATTTTCAGGCTTCTCTACAGGATCTTGATCAACGCCGCCCCCTCCTGGAGACACAGATCACAGCAGCCCAGAACCTGAAGAACAAAACCAGCAGCCAAGAGACCCGCAATGCTATTTCTGAACGCAGTAAGTCTCACACATACACATGCAACATAGCATCACCTAGCCTCCCACAGAGGCTAAGTGAAGCTTATTTAGAGCCTATATTAGGCTTTATCAGGGGTGTCCAACTCCAGGCCTCAATGGCCGGCGTCCTGCAGGTTTTAAATCTCACCCTGGGTCAACACACCAGAATCAAATGATTAGTTCATTACCAGGCTTCTAGAGAACTTCAAGACATGTTGATCATTTAGCCATTTAAATCAGCTGTGTTGGATCGAGGACACATCTAAACCCTGCAGGACACCGGCCCTCGAGGCCTGGAGTTGGACAAAACATATTCATCTGCCATAACAGAAGCTGCAGAAGCTGTCTGCACCTTCTTCCTATTAAACTGTTCCAAGATAACCATGTTATACAAATCTGCCTCCTCAGCACCACGTCAACATGTAAAGTGGTGGAAAATGTTCCAAGCAAACTCAGCATTAGTCTGTTTCTCTCCCCTCTTCCAGTTTCTAAATCTCTGCCTGTCTGCTTCTCTGCCACTTCCAGCCTTTACTGTCTCCCCCTCCAGTTTGTCCAAATTTTGTTCCTTCTGCGCTCCTGATGGGTTGAAAGCGTTAAAAAAAAATCATGATGCCCGCGTTTAAACACGCGCAAATCAGTCCGTGCATGATTACGTTGCCCCGCCCATCAAAAAGTCTGCGCATGCGTGAATATATTATATAGATTGGACTGACTATTGCCAATTGGAAAATGTTTACATATCGCCCGACCCTCACTCTTTCAAGTTCCACGTCACACTGCAACCGCTCCTACTCAGTTTTTGCATTTTCCTTCTCTAGTTGCAGGTACAGATCAAATGATAATCAATTGATAATGACCAATCAATCAGTTCAGAAGCCGATATCACTGGAGCCTGATCTACCTCCTTCAACAGTACTTTTCAGTTTTTGCCCAGCCCAAGTGTGCATGCTTTTGTAGTCACAAATTGTATTAAATTAGCCTGAAGCCAAAAGCCTTTCCTCTATATTTCTATTTTATATTGGAGGACACTCCTCCTCTACAAATCTGCAGGTTCTGAGTTCTCTTCTTCTTCTCTTACTGCTTGTTTTCGCAAAGATCACCATCTCAAAGAGAGGAGTTACTACAGTGTTCATTTTGATAGCACATTCTGATTTTGTTTGTCTTTTACTCATAATTTAGTTTAGTTTAATAGATTCAGTCATATATAGTGTAAAAAAGTCTTCTTTTTACCTGTGAGATTACAAAGCATCATATGTTCCTTGATATCAAATGCAAATGTTTACTGTTCTCTTCCTGCCAAGAACTGAGACTTTGTTGTGTAGTCATGACAAACAGGGAGTGTGGGAGCTAGTTGTACTAGCTGTAACTGTCCAGTAAAGGTGTAATTATCGCAAAAGGCCAAATGTACAAAAGTTATCAGCTTTCTCTTTCAACTTCAAATTCTCATCTTCTTTCTATCTGAAGAAGTCTAACACGACAACAGTAACTATCTTAAAAATATGTTTTTTTATTTAAGTTTCCTAAATAACCTGGAATTGGATAAGAGGAAGAGAATTGATGGATGGATGGATGGATGCATGGATGGATGCATGGATGGATGGATGATGGATGGATGCATGGATGGATGGATG